CGAGATAGTTGCCTTGGTACAAGAAGCGGAGGAAGCACACCACAATTTCCTGAGAGTTTGCTTCTATGATGGCCTTGGGTATATCGTTGGCGCCTATCTCAAAAGACAATTCAAGTAACGGACATCGCTGGCCAATGATAACAGTATCCAGGTTGTAGATTGTTAAGGCGATTCCATTGGGGGTGATGACCATGAGAGAAGCATTGCCGGGAGGGAAATTCTGCAGGAAGTCAAAATTAGCCATCCTGGAATTCCTGCAGATAGCCTTCCACGATGTGAAGCTCAATGTGGGCCGACTTCTGAGAGCTGTTCAGGACGAATGAGAGCTGTAGCTTGAGAACTGATATACGAAAAAGACCGCGGTTTCCTCACAGTGAAAAGTAAAGAGAGGAAGAAGAGGTTTGGGATCGATGGTCTGCAACGTAATCTTTGAGCGGCAAGGCTGCGAGCTGAGCTGTTCACGTCGCCTTGCGAATTAGGCTGCAGCAGTGTGTCGAGGCTGGGAAGCTTTCAAGTATTGCTTCGACTAGATTTCAGCTATGATTCGAATTCCTTGTGCTTGCTATGACCAAATTCCGCCTGGACAGCGGTAACTTATGGCTGGTAGTCCTGCCTAAAAGCTTGTAGACGAGCGGGGCTTGTTCAGCTTGGTAAACAGCCACGGGATCAGCAAGCAGTGTGATGCGCGAAGCATGGTGGAGGAACCCTTGAGCGGAGCATCACCATCATTGGGCTGTGGAAGCCACTGCCAGGATGCTGGGGCAGAGAAGACCTCCAGCCACAGTACCTTCTGCATGATGATTAATGATCAATAGCTTCCATCACAGCCACGCAGCAGTAACAGGACTCTGTGCATTGTACCTATTCTAGAAGACTGGTGCTGGTCCAAGCTGCTAAGCTCAGCCCCTTACGCGACGCCTTAGTTAGCCCGTCTGGCGGGGCGGTCGTGAGCATCCACTGGGAAACCTGACGGGAGCCTTAGAAACCATCATTTCTTCCAGACCACTGGAATCTCCAACGCTGAATCTGCTCTTTATATTCTTTTACATGCCAGCAAACCATCCAAACCCTAAAATACGCAACCTTTATTACCGTTAAAAATGGCGTGGTTCTCCATTCTTCCCGACAACCTTAGTGTTGTTGAGACCTGGGCAGCCCGTGTCTTCGTAGGTTGGCCTGAACATTCCAGCGCTCTCTTCAGCCGATTCAATGAGCTAACCATGTTCGCTCTAATAGATATTCCTCGGTATGCTTACTATCGGGCCTTGGGCGGTGCTCCTTGTATATGACGTTCTCCTCTACGTCTGGCGGTCAATTACCCACGAAATACCATTTATCGGGGGCCGAGCTCGTGGAAAAGCTCGTCCACGAGCCCCGAGTCTTAAAGAAAGGCCTGACGGGCATCGCCGAAGATTCAGTCTCGCTCCAGCAACCTCACGAAATATCAGCTCTCTAGCTCGAACAACCGGAGACACTCGACCGGATGGTTCGGATTTGACTAGGCGATGCATCAACGAGGATTACGAGGATAGCTCGTCGAGTACCTGAGTTGAGAATACTTGTTTCGGGAGCAACTTGCAGAATCTACGGAATATGCTCCGCCAAAGATCTCCAGATCTTCATTGGGAATCCGTCATGCATTGGCCTAACGACCTTGGAGACGAGTAGAAAGAATCCCGGATACACGGTGTTGTGAGCTGAGAGCTAAGGACTCAACAAACACGTCATACGGATACTCCTATTGTAACGACAGATATGTTTGCTCTTCACAGCTTCTCAGAGCTCGTTTGGCCAAGCCCCGCTTCACCTGCGAGCTGTCGACTACCAGATTCTGCCCCATCTCTGATATATCAATGCCGCGAGGCCAGATCCCAACTCCCTGAGCAATTTTTTGATGAATTACTCTTCCGCATAAACAGAATGACGGTTCAAAATACTTAGATGCTGTCTAGGCAGCTGCTGGAGGTTCCATGCTGCCACAAAGGAACTTAGACTGAAGTGCAATACCCACAAAGCATTTCGCATACTAGAAACTTCAGCAGAATCCTTTGAATTTTGGGGAATACAGCTCGCCTCGCGCGCTAAACCTGGTCTTTATAGGTTCTAACACCCCAACATGCAGTCTGACGCAGTGAATGAAGCCATTTCATGGACATATTCAGAATCCTAAGAATATCAAACTGTTTCAAACATGTTCTATGATTTGGTTCCCTCCAGTTTGTGCAATGACTCTGGAACATCCGGTCGTCTCCGGTGTGGAAAACCTCCGCTCTGGTCTTTGCTGATATCTGTTATACCAATCTCTCTAAATCGGGCCTGTTCTCGTCCTATCATTGAATAGTATCCCATCCCAGAGGAAATGTTTGCTCACTTGCACACCCCACACAGGTCAAGTTACGCCGAACGGTTCACAGTATTTGACCGCCTCAGCTCGTGGTCAAAGCCACTTTCGACCTTTTCGCTTCGGAAACTACGTAATCATTGTCGAGGGCCCTCTATAGTACACTAACCGCCAACTGTGGAACAGAAGTAATTTACCAAATCCAGTCTAACCAATGCTCGTTTGTTCTAACACATGATGCTTATTTTCGAAGTCATCGATATGCACCTACTTTCTACCGTGCTTCTGTTATGCTGTGTCATTCCAGCCGTTCGTTTATAGTGTTATATTCATTTTAATTTCGAGTTTGCGTCAACGAGCTCGGGGAGTTTGCCCATTCACCAAATACTATAAGGCATCCGTTGGCTCTATAAAGAATTGGCAGCTCCTCTCCCATCTCCAACCTTTGCACAATTGCTCGAAATTACGAGTTTCAGAGCCTCGGTTATTCCTTCCACGATAGCCTCTCTACGTCCACTATTATCTCTTGATGACTACCATCGATCCTCACCTCCGTCGCCTTACGAGATGGACCCTCGAGATCCCCGTAGTATGAATGCCGCCTTCGACGCGTGTCGAATGGGTATGGACGGCCTAGAATATTTTGGAGCAATAGGGATGGGGCCCTTCGCGAATCGTTCGCACTCACGAGGACCTTATCCACCTGGATACGACCAAGAAATAATGATGGGTGGCAACTAGCAAAATACTGATGATCTTGTGCGAAGGTTGAAAACATCTTATGAGAAAACATGCATGCAGCAACACTGACGCTCATTTTCCTCCTAGAACAAATCTTCTTTGCGCAGTTCGTTAATGGACAAATCACTTGCGCTGCAAGATGCGGTCGGCTGCAGCCAAAAATGTGTGCCGATGGTAGATTTCCTCTCGATTTCCGCACAAAACAGTGGAAGAAGTCAAAGTTATGGACCGTATGTAAAGAATTCTATCTACGTATTTAAGCCCTCTCATCATACTTATAGCCACGGCGTTGGATCGCACTCTCCGAGCATATGTGCTACCAACTAGCCTGCGCTCTCTTCAGCTTACCTCTTGTAATCTCGTCAGCACGAAGATAGTACATCAAGCAAAGCTCTGCACATTATTCGGCTTCCTAGGCGCAGTACTAATATCAGCATGAGCGCATGGAGAGGAGTGCCCTCATGCCGTATTAGTCATTAAGTCGCATATACGTCATTGTCGTACGTGCTGTTTCATGTGATTTTTAGAAGTTAAATAAGTCTCTTCTATAGAGACTACCTCACCTGGACTGGTCATAGTAGAACTTAGTAGAATATAGTAGAAGACGCGCTCTAGCACTATTATATGCCCTATATATAATACAGTACCTATTAACCTAGTAACTAAGTAATATAATATACCCCTTTCCTTCTATTTTCTTGCTTTCTTTCTCTACACAACGTCTTAACTTTACCACGTAGTCTATATACATAGCTTAATAATATCTACTTCGCTATATATTATTGTCGCTTATACTTACTTTATAATATAAGGTTTATTTAATATGCGTGCTTATTATAAGACTTATACTTCTTACTTAAGTAGTAACTAAAGGGTTTTATTAAATTAATAATACTTTATAAATTAGCTACCGTTTTAGCTAGCTATAAGGGATATTACTAGGGTATACTATATAGAGTAAGTAAGCCAGGTATAAGTTATAGAAGAGTTAATAGAAGAGGACGATGATATAGTAAAGAGTAGGATATAGTGATACCCTCGTATAGTACGGTAGGGTAGACCGTTCCCTAGTTCGCTTCGGCTACGGTGCGTTAGCACCCCTTTGTATATAGACTCTATTAGGCAGAGAAGTCACGAAGGATAAGAATATATACTTGTCTTAACATACTTAGACCACACAGGGAGGCCTATACCTATATACCCAGCCCATTAATAAGTCTACCGTAGTATTTCCTACAAGGCTTCGTTACAGTTTTAGCTATTTCGGCGTTATTAATATCGCCTATCTAGGCGTTAGGTAAAAACTAAGGATTATTTTAGAACTGTGCTAGGAACGTATTAGTTTTAGTAAAGGCGCGTATAAGTCGCGATTACTCTAGGGCGGAGGTTAATTAGCTAGGGTATAAGGAATTAGTAATCGCGATAGGGCGCAAATTAAATATATTATAAACTATTACAGTGCTACAATAAAGTAGACTAAATAACTACGTTGTGGTATAAAGAGGAGAAGAAGGTGGAAAGGGGGTATTGTATATAAATAGTAGGGCCGGCCACCGAGGCACTAGTAGTGGGCTAGCCAACAGTAGGAAATAGTACGAGACAGTATGAAACAGTATGCGTTAGGTCAGTGCCGTAACACTTATATTAATTTCGTTAAAGTTAATAGTTTGCCTTATATAAATAGAGCGGCTTAGCTTCTAAGAGCTTGTTAAAGTGGCTTAGACCAAGGAACAGATGGATCGATCGAATAGGTTAGCTTGCGGATATTCGATAATCCGCGCAGCGGACATTCATCGGTTTCTTGGTCTGAGCATGCTGAGACAAAATATATACAACAAGAGAAGCTATCACGTAATCTCAGGAAGCTCCCATAGATATCCACGTACCCTACCAATATGGCGCAAAAAAAAAATAAACTCGACAGAGGCAAGGATCGAACTTGCGCGCCCGAAGGCATTAGATACCATGAATTTTTCAAGTCTAACCCATTAACCACTATACTTATTTTAGCAAGAGCTCTAACTCGGGCGGGGCCACGTTACCTCTGGCACTCTGCCTTTAGCTAGGAATGAGAGCTGCAAAGATTTAAATAATACATTTTCTTAAAAATTTTGCGCTTACTCCAGTTATTCTTTTTCTCCAATGTAAGCCATTTAGTTCTCTTTACGTAGAGCACATAAAAACACTACCAATTAAGTTACAAGCATAGAGAATTTTCCCAGAATCAGGAGGTATATATTTGGCTTACCTACCCGACAGCCTAGACTTACCGTGCGGTATTCCGTCCTCCTCTATACCTTAATCCACCCAGCTATATTATGGTACTGTTGGCAGCATAAGTACTCAGATGTAGGGGCTTAGTGTACCCCTACTACTAGTACTAAGCTGAGCGCACTTATTGGATGCAGGAGATAGAGAATAGGGGACCTAGGTTGGGCCCTTAGGATAAGGCACCTAGATCTTTTTCTACACGTCCCGCTGTTCCTTTGGGGTGGAAATCATGCTGCAAGCAGGAGGACCGCAGGCGTATACACACACACACACACACAGGGCATTCAAATGGGAGCAAGGGCAGGATAACTCAAATTTACGGCATTTACAAATTAAATGGAAGCATGGTACGAATGGCAGACAGGGCAATATAGGCAATCTGGAGATCAAGTCTTGGTCCAGGAGACCGTCTCCGAGCGGTGACCTACGGTGCCTTTTCCTCTCGTCGATGTAGTACAGGTGCTACCTGGAAGGATACATGCTGTATTGCCACTCACGTCTCCCTTGGAGGTTTTTTGTACCTAACTTAACGGTATTCGTCTGCATGGACCGGAACGGGGATCAGACATTAAGTAAGAATAAATATATATATATTTGGCTTTACCGAAAGCGTTAAGCAGTGTACTTTTTGCCTTTATTTTTATGCGATTAAACACTTTGCGAACCCCATCTTCTGTGAAATTAGGGATAGGCTCGACGATATCCTTATACTTCTCGCTTCTCACTAAATGCTCGTTGAGAGACAATATGGGCTTAGATACTTGGGTTAAGATACTTTCGCCGTATTTGGCTTCCAATCGTCGCACTTCGACACTTCATTAAGTTATCAATACAATCAGCTCAGCCACCATTAGTAAAGTAAGTTTATCCAAGCTATCAGTCTCATCATTCTTATAGGGCTTATTGTGTTTGCAAGTAGTAATTCTAGAGGACATTATTATTACTATACTAAGTAAATAATAAAGACTTTAATAAATCTTTATAAGGACCTCTATATAATAGCAAAACTAGTATAAGGAAAAATTAAAAGGTATTATAATACTAAGAGATCTAAGGGACTAGATCTTAAGGAGGGGAATAAAGTATAGCTATTATATAAAGATTTTAGAAGTTATATATTAACTAAACTTACTAATAAAGATAAAAATCTACCCTATATAGTATATCGCGATACTAGAGCTAGTATACGGAGATATTAAGCCACTAGTCTATAAAGCAGATATATATAAAGGACAAAAAGAAAATAAATAGTAAGTTTAAAGAATTATTAGTTATAAGGATATAGATAATAAAATATAGTATAAGGTTAAGTAAATAGGCTATAATAATAATTTATTGCTTAACGTCCAATTTAGATCCCTATTGGGCCTACGCGGACTACTCCTTATATATATATGGGGAGAAAACTCTATTTAAGAAAACCCCGTAATCTATCTTTCTGCCTTTTAGGACTCGCCTATAAAGCGCCTGCGGGGCGCCTATAAGTTACCTATAGTGCTCCTACTACCTTACTTTTTAACCTTTTTAGGAACTACTGCTGCCGTAACAAGCTTACGGACGCGCTAGTATCGCAAACTTTACTCTACTACTGTAGAGTTATTAAGGGGCGCCGTTACTCGCCTTTCTACCCTTTATTACTATTTCCCTTATAACCTAAAACTGGTTTAGTATATTTTAGCTAATAAGCCACTAGGTAACCGCCTTAAGGCCTTTTTATATTAAGAGTAGTATATTATAGTTCTCTATACTAGCTACTAAAAGTATTACTTCTTAGTTAGTATATAAGGGGCATAATAGTATTATATATTTTAGTGTCTGTCTTAGCTAGCTATATTTATATCTTAGGCTACCTATTAAGATACCTACCTAGTAGAGCCAGTCTTTTAGTCCTATTATTCCTATTCTTAAGAATATTACTATTATATTTTCTACCTTTATTAGGCCTTCTTAGAGCCCTAGAGTATTTACCCCCTATAGCATTAACTATACTATAGCTTAGGTTCTTCTTACTTTAGTTAGCCTCTATACCTTTAACTCCTATATACCTCTTTAGCATTAGTCTAACTAGTATTATATTATAGTGGATAGTTTTTTAGCATTCTTTTATACTCTACTTTTGTTACGGACGCTTTAAGTACAATATTACGACTACTTAGAGAAGAGTTGGAAGAAGCTAGTTGGTTAATACAAGCACGGTTTAGGATGGATCCGGTAGAACTATATGATGAGGAATGGTAACTAAGGTTATATAATGTGCTACGTAGTATACAAAAGAAACAAAGGGAACTTACGTACTTTACGTACTTTACGTATATTACGTATAAGAAGGATTTTATAGGAGTACGGTTGTGTATTTAAGGACCCTTAGTCCCTACCTAGATAGTTCCTTCCTTATAGTAATTCTTAGAATATAATTAGAGTTAATCTATTAGGCAACCACTCCACCAGTTATTATCTGTTATTAACTACTGTTTTTACATTTCCTATACACCTAGCCTATTAACGAGCCCATCGTAGTTCCTACTATAAGGTTCCGTTATATAATCACTACCTAGTTACGGTATTAAATATAGAAAGTTAAACAATATGCCACTAAAAGCAGCCACTATAACGCCATCAACGGCGGCAACTACGTTAAGGTTAGGGGGTGACACTAATATAGCGGACACTAACTCGCAACAACCTATAACGGTAGGACAATTATAAGAAATAGTTAACTAGTTAATAGAGAACAATGTAGTACTTAAATAAAGGATTAACGGAATAGGCGTAGTAAAGGTTAAGTTACTATTAATTAAAAGATTCTTAGGAGAGAGATTAAAGCTTAAAGGATTCCTTACGCAAATACATTTTAAAGTTACGTAAAAGGGAGCAAAGCTGGTGATACCTATAGATTAAATAGCGTATATAGGGTTATTCTTAATAAAAAGAGCACTTAAATGGTTTAAGCTTTACCTTATAGAGATATAAGTAAACGGAATAATAACTACAAACTAAGAAGTACGGTTTATGTTTTTAAGCTAGAACGGATTTGTAGAACGACTTATATAAATATTTAAAGACCTAGAGGCAGTAACCATAACGGAAAGAAAACTCTAAGACATTATATAGTAAACCTTAGCAATTAAGTACATAATATAATTTTAAATATTAGTAATATAAGTTAAGTAGAATAATAGGGCGCTTATAGCATAGTATAAGTAGGGACTTAAGGCTAAAGTCTAGGACGTAATTATTTTAATAGAAGATACGGATACTCTAAAGGAACTAATAGATTAAGTGATAAAGATTAATAATAGGATCTACTAAAGGGAATAGACTAAGAGAGGTTAGGATAGAGTTCTATAGTTATATAAGACGCAGAGCACGCAATAACTAAAGCTAAGTTAGAAATTATGGTATAGCGCAGAGCTAATAGACCTAAGTGGTACTAAAGAAGCCTATAAGAGATAGAGTAAAAAACTATAGAAACCTAAAGGTTAAGGATCTAGTAATTATAGAACTAAGGAGTAAAGGCTAAGCTAGGGATCTTAATAGCAGAAGACGTTTAGGCGGACTCTACAGTAAAGTTAATAGTTTAGAGACGGAGCTTATATAAATTATAAAAAACAGGATTACTTCGCAAGGGATTATAAAGATGGTTAGAATTACTATGTAATAAAGGGAACTAGGCTAATAGTAGAAGACACATACGTATAGAGGGATAATAGTATACTACGAGGAACAAAAGAATATTTAATTAGAAGTTTCGCGTTTTATTATAATAACATATACTAAATTTATAAAGACGCTAAGTACGGCGTAAGCTATTAGCTATAGGAGCTAAAATTTATAGAGTATAGAGGAACTAATAAACTAGTTCGTAGATCGGATATTAAGGATAATAAGTTTAATATAGGCGAAACATTCTATAATAATAAGGCAATAAAGGCGGCTTACTAGGAGTACACAGACCTTAAAGATATTATACTAGAGGTAGAGGATGATTCCACTATAAAATAGGGAATATTAGTAAGGATCGAGACCCCACTAAATATAATATCTATCGCTTCACGAGACGTAAGAGAAGTAGGATAGTAAACCACTTTGGCACTTAATAAAGGCAAAAGGCTAAAGGCTTAAGATTCTTAAGACGAGATAAGAGATAACTAAGATTCTTAGAGTGAGATAAGGCATACCTAAGGACCTATAACGGATAAAAACCGATAGAGTAGGGCAGTAGCTTAGTTTAAAGACATATAAATGAGCTCGGGATAAGAATTCCTAACAGCATAAGATTCTTAAGACAAGATAAGTAAGATTTAAGACTCTTAAAATAAAATAAGAATACTACGGACGCCTAGTTAGACTAAGGCGAGAGCTAAACTTAAGTTAGAGGTAAGCTTGGAATTAAAGAATCCAAGGGACCAAGAATTTAGAGTGCGAATTAAAATACCTATAAGTAAGAGGTAAGAGGCTTCTTTATAGATTAGAAAATCTATAATATAAATAGTAGTTAGACTAGGAGACAGATATATAAACCTAAAAGACTTACTAAGGGAATATAGTGTTCGGCCTAAAGATTAAAAAACTAATACTAAGATTAAGAAGTAAGGAGACTTTAAGGATCTACTCATAAGACGCGACATAAAGGAAACTATAGAGGAATTTAGAGCAAGAATTACCTTATAGCAAGAACAGAAACTAGATAAGAAATCTAATATATTAGGACGTATAAAGGATAGAGCGCTAGTATAAAGA